TGGGGGGGTGGACGGGGCTTGGCAGCTTATTCTGACCGAAGGGGAAGGTTTCTGGGTGGTGCAGCAAAGGGGGCTTCTTGGAAAGTAATTCTGGGTTGGGTTGTGACGTAGGCTGCCAGGGAAATCTGCCTCTCTCTGCCTCGCTGAAGTCATAAACCTGGGCATTCCCGAGGGCCGGCTTATTTTTGCCCCCTTGTCATCGCCACCGTCATGGCTGTGGGGAGGCAGAAGTGGGAAATCAATTTTAAGGAGTATACAAATATGAAGATTGAAAGTGAAAGGCAAGCTCTGGACAGAGTGGGTTCCCTCTCTGTGGCTTTTATTCACCAAAGCTTTCTGGGTCTGCCCATAGATCCAGGTCATTTGGCAGGTTTCTGTGCTACTGGTTGCTATTCTCTGAGCCCAGCAGGTACTGTAGATACAGTTTATAACGGAAAACTTGTATAAAGCAGAAGTGTCCAGTTAGGTTGGTATTTTTAAATCTCTCTTATGCTTACCAGAATAGTAATTTTGGAAAGCCAGTAGATCTTTTATTCCTCAGGCTGTCCTTTTCATTGCGAGTTCAGAACTGTAAAGCAAATTCAGTATTTTCTAAAATCACATTGACTAGGCTACTAAATAAAATGCTAACCTTTATTTTACATGATAGAATTTTAAAATTAAGTGCTGTTCTGGACCTCTGAAATAGAAGACTCCATGATGATCAACTTACCTATTTTCTCTCACCTTTGCTAGGCCACAAGAGCCTGGAATCCCACCTTGCATCTGCTCTTGTATTTTATTTTCAGATCAAATAATGAATTTTTAAAAATTATTATTATTATATTTTTTTCCTTTAGTGATTTCAGTCAGGGGTTGAGTGCCTTGCTGGCCTGGTCTTTGTTCATAGGCTCAACTGTGAATGTCTGTGAAGGTCCCTATACATGCATAAATGTATCCATCATCATACAGAAATAACTACCTTTAGATAGTTTAAGCAATAAAGCAGGCATCCTGATAAAAGCAAGGAATGCAAGATAGCATGACATATCTGTAAGCAAATTCACAATGTCTGTACAATACTTGAGCAATGACATATAAAACCTTATGGAAAAGGTTCTGCATTTAGGTAAAATTACCTAACATAAATCTGTTGTTCAGCATGATGAAAAAAGGTGATACTCAGCACCCTCATACAATGGTCAGCTCTGAGAAAAAAATGCTGTCCCATCGTAAACCCATGAATCTGGTGTCACTACCCAATCACAAAAGGCAGAGGAGTATTTTAGTAGATGTGGGGAGGCAGTGGTTTGTGTAAGCAATTGCCAGGGCAGGGGCAGTGCCTGCCAGGCACTGGAGGCTCAGAAACAATCTGGTTGACAGAAGAGGGATGCAGCCCCTGTCCCAGAGAAAAGCAGTGGCAAAACTCCTATTGACTTCAGGTTCAGGATTTCACTCAGCCAGGAATGATAAGTTACAAGGGGAAAGATTGGATTTTCATCAACAGTAATTGTTGATACGCCTTAAAAGCCCATTGTCTTTAACTCTTACTAATTATTTAAGAGTTTATTAATTTATGACCACTTAGAGACATCCCACTGTTTTTTGTTTTGTTTTGTTTTGTTTTCTCCTTGCTGTTATCCCATACATTTGAGCTCATCCAGCCTGCATAGAGAGCCGCAGACAGTTAGAGATCCCCAAACTGTGAATCTCTCCTTCAGCCTTTCCCTCTTCTTGTCCATCACTTAATCTCACCATAGGTAAAAGTAATTTAAATTTAAAATTAATCAGTGCAGGCAGCGTGAGGGCTCGGTTTGCAGTAACAAGATGGATGAAATTACAAGGTGGACTCTCCAGTCACAAGCTAGTCAAAAACAACGAAGTATTCAATACTTTGTTAGGAATTATTCTCTCCTTGAAGCTTTAAGATTTGCTGCTCAGCTTTGCTGTCAGCCAGAGAGATTTGCTCCTGATGGTGCTGTAATCCGCTGCTGCTGGTAATTAGACATCATTACTGCTGGGTTAAAGGGAAAGAGAGAAGGAGAGAGGACAGGCTGGGGCTAATTAACTACTTGATTCTAATGAAAGAAAGAGAGTCTGATAGCAACTGGGAGGTTGCACCGGAACAGGCTAGATGTACAACACAGACTTAATTGAAGCAGGGGTGTCTTGCAGTCTCACAGTAGCTGAGGCTTGGTCTACTTTCATATTCTGCGGGCAGTAGTGCATGAGGTATTATTCTGTTTTTCCCCTGCCTGGTTGGTAAGTAGCTCAAAAATCACAGGCCTATCTTCAATATCAAGTTTAAGCATGCCAGCAAGGAAAATGCATAGTTTATTATGTGCTGGCTTAATCTATTTTACGGGTATGGTCTCCTCAAGAGCAACAGGAACAAATCAATTTCTGAATGTTCACATCCCTCTGTGGCCTAGGAGATGCACTTTTGGTCACCAGGCAACAACATCCCCTGCAAAACAGCCATTTTAGGTCCAGAGTGGGACAACAGGCAGTAAGGTATTCCTATATATAACCCTGTATTTAACTTCTGCAACTTTTCAGATTGATACTGTTATCGTTACAGGTTTTCTTTCATTTAACCCAAGCTGCACTTTATGAAAGTAGTGAAATTATGCTTAGCCTAGACACACTGTATAAAACATGTTAGGCCAACAAATACACCAAATGGCTGACAGTGTCTACTTCTGATGGTTGGTACTCACAATCTGTAAGGATGCATGGAACTAACCGTTTCTAGTCTAATATCTTTTCTTCTTGTGATTTTTATGGTGGATTTTTTGGGGTGTGTTTTCTGCATGATTCGTTAACTGGAACTATATATCAATTATCAACTTGAAAACCAGTTTCTTCTCACCACCTTTCTTTCTCTTACTTGATGTTGTCCGTAGGCTCAAATATGGCTCCTAAAATCAGTCTGGATTTAAAAATGTTACAAATAACGGCCCCAGCTGCATCAGCAGATTCTAAGCAGAACTTTCCCTTAAATAATGATTGCAGGATACGTCTCAAGTATAGAATTTACATGCTATCCACAAACTAATAGAATATATCCTCAAAGTTTGGACTGCTTTTCTGTCACTGCTATTAATTCAGAATTACTCCACTGACTTTAATGAAATCATAAGCCTAATACATGGGTTTTCCCATGTCTTCATTTCTATTTTCCAACTATAAGCACACAATCAGCTTTAATTCAGAAACCAAATTTTCTTCAGTTTAATTAAATCTTTAGATCCTCCAGGAGGATCTGAAGTGCTTGGATTGCTACTAGCAGGCCAGAGAGGCTCTTTGCAGGTGCAAGGCTGTACTACTGAACCTGATTACTGGATTTAGGGCTTGAAATTATAGGCCAGTCAGTTCTATGGAACAGGGTGTATCCCAGCTCACCTCTTGTTCTGTTAGTGATAAAGAGTAGTGGATGGACTTATGAGTTTGCAGTTAATTTGATTTTATGTAAATTACTTCGTTTATGAATGATAGAAGAAGCAGATCACAGTATAAACAGCTTATATATAAAAACACAATGCTTTAAATTATCCGATGTTTTAAATTGTTTCTTAGGGCACTTTATAGCAATCTGAAAATTTGTAGCTTTGGTTCATTGTGTTTCTCCCCATTTTTGTAGCCATCAATAAAAAAAAATAAAATAAAATAAAAGAGCCTGTCAAATGTCTGTTGCTAGTTCTGTAGCCTACTGAACTGCCAACACATAATGGCAGTAAGTACCACAGAAAGGTGATGCTGAGGGTGAGCTATAATTTATCCCAAGGTACAATTCTGCAGTACTTTAGAGTCGCGTTAAATGCACCTTCCAGGTTCAGAAGCAGTAGTCAAGACCTGCCATTTCCACCCCATCTTAACTACCCAGCACATTTTCCTTAACCCTTGCTCAGGTCTGCAGAGCTTTATCTCCTCCATTTACCCACAGCCTCTGCCCTGCTG